GAAAAAGAGAGAAGGAAATCTCTCTGTATATGCTGGAGGTAATTATTTTAAATTAGCTAAATAGATGGTAAATTGGCGAGAGAAATGCCCAAGAACTTTTCTTACATCAATTTTAGGGTTTGAAACAATCTGTTTCATGTAAAATTGCTTGAAATTTACTTGCAACTTTATCGCAAAATGTCCCTATGTCGAGTCAATGTCCTCATGTCGGGACTTTTTTGTGATTTTTTAATGGTAAAATAAGTGTCCCTAGGTCGAATCATCCGCAGGTCAAGGCGTCCGCATGTGGGGGTCTCACTGTATATTAGAGAAACAAGGTTGCACTGGTGCTGCCATCCTGTATTCATGAGCAGGTGCGTGGATCAAGAAAGAATCCCAGAAGGGGTGAAAATTAGCACACTGACAATGGACTTCTCATTCACTGAGTGCAAATAATATATTTCTCCAGCAATACAATATATGCAACTAAGACCAGACCAACAATGAACGCTTGAAAGAGCATTTGGACGCCCTCCTATAGATTTGGGGTGACAAAAAGAAAGGTACAAAGCCACAAATAAGCATAAATGAAACCAGGGCAGTCAAAAGGTTGATGACCATCCAGTGAGCAGACACAATGAGGATTAATTCTGTTGAACAAGATTGTTGCTAACCAGAATTTGCAAAAGTACATCATAGAAAGACCAAAACAAGAAAGGGGTATTCTTAATGCGTTTTGGGACACACCTATAAACTTATAGGATGACATTTAGAAAAATGCGACAATTTTGTTTTTTTTCACTGAGTGTCCTCTGGAAATGCTTGAATAATATGAGGGGTGTTTTGAGGCGCAAATATTTGTTGATATTTTCTCATATTTTCTCATATGGATTTTAAAATGATCTGAATTGAAACTTTTGTATTGTATGTTACAAACAATAAACTAATGTACCCCAAAATATCAATAACATTTAAAAATTTGTCATATTTATACACTTGATACTAGGAATATCACAAAAAAGAAAATATTTAAGCAAACATGTTCACTAGTGATTTTCTGAACATATTGTTCTTGTGATGTTCTTTCAAGTAATTTTTTATGACTGGGGGGCATGTTGAAGAAAAAAAAAGATCTTACATACCTCGAATGAACAAGGCACAGTCTAAGTTGGTAAAATATATATGAAAATGGTTTATCAGACTGCAATAAAACTTTGAATGGGATTCTGAAGACTTTTGAGAAACCCCTTGTTCATGAGTTTACATGAGATTGAAACATATCTATGACTCTTACAAAAATGAATGAACCCATGAACTATTGCCTAACCCTAGACAGGTAACAAATGAAAGAGAACCCTGAATTCATATTTCATGTTATTCAACTTCTTCTCTTTTCAAAAAGATGCAATTTTGAATAGCAATTTTTTGGATAGATAAGAGGGGGAAAGCTCATGAGAATTGATTAAAAAATTTCAGAATAAATTAGAAAGAAATCATTTGTTCAGATCAAAGACTCAAACTTATACTGCATTGAAAAACTCTAAAGATTATTAGACACAATGTCAGAAATTTTATTACAAAGTTTACTTTTATTGAATTATATCCACAAATGCAGACAATTCCAGCTGTTGGGACAATTGCAGTTGAGCCAAATTTAAGTTGCACCTCACATTCATGCATTTTACAGATACACAGCAAACCTATTTTCTAGAAATTTAAATTTAAAAGCGAAAATCTGTCCAAATTCACATGACAACTATCAAATATAGACCTACTTAATTATCTCAAAGATTTGTTTCCAAACACGTTTCATACATAAATACAATTTGAAAAAAAGCCATTTTTGTGCTATTACTGCGGACCCATTTGAAAGCAGAAGAGCAATATGTAAAATATTAACTTGATGCTTTTCAAAAGGAAATGAGAGACAAGAATTGTTCAAATGTACATTCAAGTTCAGCACCCTGCCAACTTCATTTTCCCAGCTCTTTAATGACCAGAATATCAACTTCCTGTAATCCTTCATATTACAAAATTGATGATTTCACCAACTCAAATACTTCCCAGCAGTCAAATTTGTGCACAATCTAGCATTCAAAAATATCACCTTCCTGTGACACTCCATGTTTTCCCCCCCAAAAAATGCTGGTTTCATATTACTCAAAAACTCACACAGTCAAATTTTTGTACAATCTAAATAGAGGTCAAAAATATAACCATCCTGTAATACTCAATTTTTCCAGAAAAATTGATGATTTCACCAACTGAAGAATTCCTCAAGCATCCAGTAAAGTAAAAAATATCACCTTCATATGACAGTATTCATGTTTTTCTCTCTCAAAAATGCTGGTCTCATACCAGCTCAAAAAATCTGCCTCTCAATTTTTTTTTTTTTAGCGGGTATCCGAATTTCAATTGGAAAAGGTTTAAACCAGCAGGTGATGCAAAAGAAATAAATAAAAATAAAACTGAGACACATATCTTCTTTTTGCCACTCACACCAGGATTCCGGCGGTCGGCGGTGTCGTCCATCCAGATGGGCGACGTGCAGGGTGAGATCGTGTTCACCCAGCTGTTCCCCACCTTTCCAGTGATGGTGTCTGGACGCGTCAAGGGCCTGGCACCCGGGGAACACGCTTTCCATATCCACGAATTCGGGGATCTCAGGGAAGGATGTCTCCGGGCTGGAGACCACTTCAACCCCTTCCACGTGAGCATTAT